AGAAATAATTATTTCAGGGAGAAGGGGAGAGAGAGAGAGAGAGAGAGATCGCGACAAAACAATAATTTACAATTTGGATTCGTCATTTCGACTCTTGATTAATTGTGTACGATTAAAAAAAAAACCTCAGAAAGGTAAAAAACATATGTACTTGGCGTCGCGACGCTGCCGCGTCGTTTGATACATCACGCTAAATACGCGACTTGAGATTTATCGTTGCGTTTACGTACTATTTAAAGTATGTAAAAGATAATTATTAATCTTATCAAATTATTTTCCGATACTTGTCGCGATCACGTTTAGGAAAGGAATTTGACGGAGCGTCTCGCACTGCTACTTTACTGCTCGAGTATCGCCGTGCGAATGATAACAAGGCCGTAATATGTAAACAATAGAGCGCAACACGCCGTCAACGCCAAGGCCGAACACCATTGATAATTCGTTGCCGTAATATTTTACGTATTATATCATATATACACGCGGAACATTAATATATAAAAGTATTTTAAATTGTAAATTAATTATTTATTAAACGACTGATGTATCATGAAGCTCTTCGTATTGCTAATTACTCGATTCTGCGATTCAATTGTTTAATTGCGCTTTCTCAATCCAAATTATATTTAAATAATCGAAAAGCCGTACAAGAGAAATAGAGTATAGGAGAAAATATCTTTACTCTAAGTATCGATAAAAAAATAGGTATTGTTCGTAAGGATCGCAACAAAACAATAATTTAGATTTCTGTCACTTCGATTTTTATCAGCATTTTATCGGTTTGAGAATAACTTTAATGGATTAATGAGATTTTTGCGACTACAATGGCATCAAACACAACATCAATAAAATGATTTTTAGCTAAATTATTAATAAAAATTTTGAGCACATATTTAACTAAAAATTATTCGGTTTATGTCGTGTTTGGTATCATTTTAATAACAAAAAAATCATTAATTTATTAAAATTATTTTCAAACAGTAAAACGCAAAATATAAAAATTTTATTTTCTATGGTAATATGACACATATATACTCGTGAAATACTATACCTATATAAAGGAATAAGCACCTCGCGTATAAGAGGCTTCGAAATTTTTTGATGATACGTCATCTCGCTTGCTCTTTACTCGTTCTCGTTCTCACTTTTGATGACATCGGAGATTTGCTTTACTTATCTATAATAATTTATTTATAATATTCAAAAATCTTTCGTAATAAAAACTAAAACATTCATGTTTTATTTTAGAAAGCAATTTTTTGAAAATAATTTTAATGCATTAATGAAATTTTTATGATTAAAATGATATCAAACACGATATAATTCGGATAATTTTTACTTATTGTTACATAAAAAAAAATTTTCATCTAATTTTTAATCTTGTATCTAATTTAAATTTGTCCAATTAATGTCGCGTTTTTTTATGTCATTTCATTTGCAAAAATCTTATTAATCAAGTCTTAAATACCTTTTATACGTTATATTTAAAAATTAGGAAAAAAATTATTAAGAAAATTGATTGAAGAAAATTTATTTTATTTCACATGCGTATATTTATATAAAAATACTTCAATAATAACTTATTATCACTGTCCGTAGTTTGTACTAGAATGACAAAACATTACGCACAGCTAATGAAACATTAATAAATCTATAATATATTTCTCCGCATTTTTTATAAAATTACATTAAAAAATATAAGAAATATAAAAATTTTATAAAAGGTTTTTGTATATTCATTAAATGCACTCCGTTAGACACTATTTTCGCTCCGAAGTATTTAGGATAAAAGAGGCCGAAGAATCTTGTTCTTCGAGCGAAAATAGCTTTAAGTGGAGCATATTTATCGTCATTTTCAAAAGACTTGTAGTATTAATTATTATCTTATTTTTTTAATTACTTATGCTTATATAAATTTGTATATAATCCCTTTTATAAATTATATAATCCCAATTTATAAATTAAATAATTAATTAAATAATATAATTAATTATAAAAAACTATATGTATATAAATTATAAAGCATAAATTTAATATTGCTTAAAATGCTTGATAATTTCGTTTCAAGAATAAGAAAAAAGTGAAAGCAAATTTATTGTAAATATCTTCTATACGTTATATTTAAAAATTAAGGCTTCTCTTTGGCTCTATAGTGGCCCTCTATGATGTCACTGGCGCTAGTGACCGAGTGAAGGGAGTTTGTTGTGATGCCCCATAATGGCCCCTATACTACTAAGACTATACAACAATCTTTAGTTATAAAAAAAAAATTTTCGAGATTCTCTCATATGCAGAATATCGAAATCATTTATTTACAATAATCCTTTCAAAATCTTGCATTTTAATTTTTTAATCTTTAAATACATATTAATAAGTTATATACAGATTTTTATGCAATATAAATCATTATTTTTCTTACTTAATTAAATCTACAGCAAAAAATATTTTTTACAATGTAATATTTACAAAACTTATAAAATGATATCCTATATTCTATATCTTGATTGAAGAAAATTTATTTTATTTCACATGCGTATATTTATATAAAAATACTTCAATAATAACTTATTATCACTGTCCGTAGTTTGTACTAGAATGACAAAACATTACGCACAGCTAATGAAACATTAATAAATCTATAATATATTTCTCCGCATTTTTTATCCACAATTATGGATTATTTAGCATGGACACGAACCAACCGATCGTTTTATCGTGGTACTGAAAAGCCTGGCCATGTAGTTCCACTGGCTCTAAAATGGATCCAGTTGACGCTACTGTACCAGTTAGAAAAAGCGTCTTTCGAAAAACGGCGTCGTGACATCTCTCAGGCTTCTCTCTCGTACAAGGTACAAGCAGTGCTTCTCTATTCATAATGTGAAGCGGATCAATGATCAATGTCAATTGTAGAATGTGGCATCCATATGATTTGTGTTTATGAGACAATTATTATTTGAAGAGAAAATTGATAGTGTTATATGTCACATTATAATTATTATCAAGAGAGATAACAGCGCAGTTTTCTTTATAGATAATTATTTCGCTCTTCTCGGACTATTTTCATAAATATTTTAGTTATGGCGATGAGTTCTATAGGTAAAAATGGTTATGAACGTTATATGTCAAACTCTTGGATTTTGAAGTAACAAAAAATGATTTGAATATTTAATATTGCAGTAAAGAAACCCTGTCCTTTTTTGGAGAAATGTTATCGGAAGAATCCAATTCACTTTAGCGAAATGTCACATCCTCATTGTAACTATATATTTGTTTATATTCTTTAATTATAAAGGCTCACAACAAAATCTAATGATTGTTATTTAAATTTTAGTGGAAAAATTACTGGTAAATCAACTTGATGGTACGATAGAAATACCAGAGATCCTTCATTTTGTATGTAATGATCGTTCACAATTGCTGGATCAATTGAAAGTATTGCAAATGGTGCTTAGAAAGGAAAGAGATAAGAACAGGGATAATCTCTTGCCTATAAGTAGTCTATCTTCTGAAGTACAATCTTCGTCTATCGCTACATCAGATATTAAAGAAGATTTGAAAGAAAAAGCAGAGAGACATAAGAAAGCAATGATACAGAAAAGGCAAGATAAACTCAAACAGATGGATGCGGAAGCACAGGCACTTTCTAAAGCTTTAATTAGTACAGAATGTGAGAATTCAGAAGATACCAAGGTTAGTGAAATAGAAAAAGTCTTTGACCTTTAAGTCGCTATTCTGTACACGGCTACCGATAGCTATAGGTTTTATAAATGTCACATGTATTTTGACATATCAAAAAACATACGCAATAATGCTTATTAAGCCTATAGCTATCAGTATAATCTGTATAGAATAGCACTCTTAAGTTCTGAAAGATAAATGTAATAAATATAAAGCTTTTTTTATAGGCAAAAAAAAGAAGTCGGGAAACATCCACAGCTGCTCCTGTAATAAAAAAGATGAAACAGATGAGCATAGAGAGCAGTAATCATGCTAGAGATAGTAAGCAGAATATCAATGATTCTCAAAGCAGTTCTACAAGTAATGAGCGAGATGCAAATTCTGAAAGAGGAACATCTATCATGGATATGTATCAAGCTTGTGATTCTGAAAAAACTAGGAAGGAAATTAGAAAGAAAGCTATCCAGATGATGAGACAGTCTGGATATATAGTATCTGTTGTGGAGCCAGGAGAGTTTGCGTTAAAATATGCCTTTTCAGCACCTTACCACTTATTTTTTACGAGAGTTGAAAAATCTAAGGAGACTTACAATCAACAATTCTCCATAACTTTCCCTGAGATTCTTGATAGAAGTCTTGGAGAGATTGTTAACAGTCTTCATTTAAATTTTATGGTAGATGTCGGATGGTTGTGTTTGCAGTATCTGTTAGCTGGTCAACGTACCGATATGATGATTTTGTATGGTGATAGAGTAGACCATGAGAAATTAGGCTCTAACATTACTATGATACATGTAGATATGCCTACCCGGTTTGGTTGCCATCACTCTAAAGTCATGATATTTCAATACAAAGATGATGGAATCAGAGTGGTGATTTCCACTGCTAATTTGTACTCTGATGACTGGGAGAATCGGACACAAGGGTCTGTTAAACACTATTATCTGATATGACTTGCTAACTATTTGATGTTTATAGACAAATATTTTTCCATTATATTCTCATCAGGCTATGGATCTCGCCTCACTTACCTCTGCTTCCGGAATCCGCGAATCCCAGTGATGGAGAATCCCCAACGGGTTTTAAAAAGGATCTCGAGCGATATCTGAGTAAATATAGACACCCGGCTTTAACACAATGGATATGGGCCGTACGGAGGGCAGATTTTTCTGCTGTGAATGTATTTCTCGTGGCTTCTGTTCCTGGAACTCACAAAGATGCCGAAGTTGATTCTTGGGGACATAGAAAATTGGCGTATGTTTTATCGCATCACGCTACATTACCGCCTGATGCTCCTCAGTGGCCTATAGTCGCACAAAGTTCCAGTCTAGGTAGCCTTGGTCCAAACTTTGAAAGCTGGTTGTCGAAAGATATAATTCCGTGTATGTCAAGGGAGACTACTAAGGGCTTAAAGAGCCTTCCAAACTTTCAATTTATTTACCCGTCGATAGAGAATTACAAGCACAGCTTCGATTGTCGGAATTTGTCTTGTTGTTTGCCCTATAGCATGCAAGTGCATTCTAAACAACAATGGATAGAATCATATTTGTAGTAAGCTTAAAATGTTTATATTTATTTCCTTCAATTTTATGCTCTACAATTCATGCATTTCTACAGAATTTTATGATTATCTAGCCAATGGAGAGCTAAACGAACAGGACGAGACCGCGCAATGCCTCATATTAAGTCCTATACGAGAATTTCGCCCGATTTGAAAAGTATTCCATGGTTCGTGCTCACAAGTGCGAATCTGAGCAAGGCCGCATGGGGAGTACAACGAAGCAACCATTACATAATGAGCTATGAGGCCGGTGTTATATTTATACCAAAGTTCATTGTAAGTGCCATTATCGCAGACATTATTGTTTATATAATTTCTAACATATTAAGTAATATATTATTTAATTATATTATTAAAGCGTATTTAAAGAAAAGGATACCAGCTGATTAATATTTATCTTACTGTTATTATTTCACTTATTCGTATTTATATTTAGACCGGGACAACGACGTTTCCTATTGAAGACGAAGAAGACCCAGCCGTTCCGGTATTTCCGATTTCATATGATCTTCCGTTACGTCGATACGATTCCAGCGACAGTCCTTTTGTCAGCGAATTTCTCAATACTCTGGGCAGAACGTAATTTTTCGGATGATGAAAGCAGTGTTTTTTTACTTTTTAAATAATGGTTTTTTAAATTATATTTGTTCACATATATTTTTACAAAATTATGGAATAATAAATTTATTCTTTTTCTGAGTAAAAACATGTTTCTTTCAAAACATGTAGTGAGTAGCTGTTTATAACTTTTGCATTAGGAACTTTTTCACTTCGATTGTATTTTCTCAATCTAATGCTAGTTTCCGATCATATTAGTTCTCTAATGACTACATCATTATCTTTAATAAATCATGAATCAATCGTAAGAGAGATGACTGTGCACAAAGGAGAAAAAGCAAAGAAGCGACGGGCTGAAACATTAGTGAGAATTCTCACGTGGTGCATGATTTTTTTTCTCCGTCTTGATTTCGCAGCGAATTCGTGCCAGCGTCGCATCAGAACGCGTTTTCCATAAAACATCAGCATGAAAGCGCTTCCTCAATACGAGGGCCGAAATGTCTTCCCTCGTAGTATTAGTGCTGTCTGTCCTGTACATGCTCAGCCTTCAAACGGCTGTTAATCATACCGCAATATTCTCGTATAAGTATGCAGCAATTATGTGTTCCGTACGCACGTTGGGCAACACATCTTGTCGCGAGAAACAAATATGATTCATAGAAATATGTAAAATTCTTATTTAAAAAATCAAGTTCTCTGCGATCATACACATGGTTTGTAATAATGCATTAGTAATAAAACGTAAACATGATATACAGATCGTTTTTGACTTCATTAATAAATCGTTAATTATTCTTACAAAACAGATAAACTAGATATTTGACTTTTTCTATTATATCCATATTTCGATGTGTCGACATTGTTCATTTTTATGTCATCTCGGCATGCACGCGCTCTTATCTTTTGTCGTATTACATCGCATTTACAATTATGAAGGAATGTAAACATCACTTCCTTTAGTAAATACGTACTAAGCGATTTCGCAAAGTCTCACATTTTTATCGATATTGCCTGGTAATAATCTCGTTACACCTGCTTACACATCGAACTTGCTAAAATTATCGATTGAAGTGGCGTTATTGTTGACAAAACTTCCACTAATAAAATTCGATAATTTATTATGCATAAAACTATTGTTTTTAGTTAGCAAATTCAATCAATTTTATCAAATTAATATGTGTTTATTTATAAATCTACATATTTACAAAATTATTTTGTTAGTTTAGCATCACACACACATTAAAGAGATTTAAATTTAGACTTGTTAAGAATGCAAAGTAAATACTCTTTTATTTATTAATAATCCTCTTTTATTAAATCTCGTCTTTTTAATAATTAATATTTTATTAATCTTTCTTTATTGTTTAAATAAAAGCTTTATTTTGATTATTGACGCTAAGATATATTAGTTATTTTTTCATATATCAGCTTTTAGTTATAGTCTTTAACTGGCATCCCGTTTTGTGTCTGCTCGCCTTCGTTACCGGATCAATCTTCTCACGTTGAAACTCACCAGGAGCCGGGTGACGTCAAAGTTCCACGAGCTCTAAACCTCCCACCAAGAGTCTGACTTCCTAGTTGGATGTCCTCGGCGCAGATGCGGTTTTCGGGTAGGGGCATCACGGCATTAGCCGAGGACGTCGATCAGCAGTACGCGAGATGTCATCGATGGAATAGGATCGTCATCGGATGTATCCTGATGGATTTCACTCCGCATACTTATCGGAGCTTCGGTACCGGCGACCGTTCTCAGAAAATCTTGCCTAAAGACTATTAGATACTTTGTGTCAAAATTTACAGAACTGTTAGAAATATCGTAAGTATTGAGCAAAGAAAAAGTCGGAAGTGACACATTCTACATACATATGTGTTTTGTGTATTACATAAAAGGTGAACTTCGTGCGTAGACGCTAAATTTTCGGAAAGAATAACACAATAGGCCCAAAACGTGTTACGCCTGATAATGCGATGGCAAATACGAAATTATCGAAAGTAAGTTTTAATATAATATAAAATTCTCTTTATCTTGTCTAATCTTTATTAATTTTTTTAAATTAGTTATCGAGATAATCGCACATCGACGCTAATCGTGCTCGATCCAATTTTCTTCCCTTGTTTGGACAGGGTGAATCCAGCTTCGCAGCCTTCGCACTCGTGATACTCTACGTAATATCTTTTGATAAATTTGGAATCCCAATTTCTGAATACGATACAATTAATTAAAATTTTCTATTCATGATGTATAATTCATGAAAAAGCGATAGATAACTGAAACTATTAAAGCAAAATTATATATGCCTGGCAATATCTTAATCTTGTTATATTATAATTTTCTATCATCCTTCGGTATTTCTCAACATGATTAGCATGTATCGAAAGTTCGATTAATTCGAGCAGTTTGATTGTATTTTTTTATGGGAGGTCGCTGACAATCGGCTGTCAAGTTAGCAGAATCGATTAACATCGATGTATCAATGTGTAAGTTTAATATTTCTGAGAGTGCACGATGTTTATACGTACATATATTTTTATATTGATCGATATGGGAGATTTTATTCAATTATCAATGGTACGGTTATTGCCCTTAAGAAAATTCAGTTAGTCCTCGATGAAGAGACCACGATTTCGATATTAATACATTTATATGTACTGAACAGTCAAGGTCCAAATCACTGTTCTTGGATGATGAATATGTATAGAAACGCGTTGCGTACAAAGCAATGGTGATTTGAAAAGACAAGCAATAGCGTGCAAATATATTCGTCATTGGCAAAGCCATTTTTTTCTATGGGAGAATCGACAGTATATTCAAATATATTCAACAGGAAGTCACACATCGTTATTCTTAAAATTAATATAGCTATTTCAGAGATAAACAGTATTCTTTCTTTTTATCTTCAGAAGAGATTTCCGCGGCTGTATTCCATTTTTATTCCATATACACTCCGTATAAATTCAACAATGATATGTTTTATAACAGCCATTAACCGTACTAACCACATCAAATTATTCTTTACAAATGAGACATGCAAATCGTCCGTATCGTTAAATTCCAGTTTAAAGTTCTGACTCTCTCTTTCGGATACCTTTCCCGACTCTCTCTTTTAGGCAATCAAGAGAGTCTAAGTCTCTAATTTTAATTTTTATTAACAGATTCACCAGAATGACATTAGCGAATGTCTTAAGATGAATCCGTCGATGTTACTGCAACTCGTCCAGAGTCTTTCGATATGGTGCGAGCGCAGTCTGCGTTTTTATTGACTAGACGAGAAACGCCAGCAAACGCCAACGAACGCCATCAACCGCTCAGACAAATCGATAAACTGGCGCGAGCTATTGCGGCAGTGTCGAGAATTTCCAAAGTTTAACCCTCGATAGGGAGAACGTCGGCTTATCACCGATTTTCGTAAAGCGACCAACGATCGGCGATCAGGATGATGACTTGTTGGGTCCTCGTCGGCGTCTTCGCAGCCATAGTACTCATTTACGGCCTCTTCGAACTGCATTATTTCTTGCGTATATTCCTCACCATCTTCCTTGCACGTTTTTGCAAGAAAAGAGTACACATTCTCGACGAAACCGTAGTTTATGGTACGTAAATTTTCTAGAAATACATGTTTTTTTTTTTTTTGCTTAGAATCGAATAGAAATATTTTATTATTTCTGGAAATTGCACTATTAAACAATATTCAATAACAGGGCTGAAGGAGCAATTATATGACATTTAATTTATTAATAAATTAGAATAAATAAAAATAAATCAGGTACAAAAAACAATATACATAGTATAAAGTGTATTTATTAATGCAAATTTTATTATAAGAACACACGATAATTGCTCTCTCGGGTCTGTTATTGAATATTGTTTATTATCTTGGAGTCGGTTTTGATTGTTTTGCACTATTAATTATAATTCAGTTTTATTTAATACGAACGCAAAGGTATATATTTTTATATTATTATTATACATTTTCTAGTACGAAACGCTAGGATTATAATTTATTTGACTTCTTTTGCACTTTAATTGGTATTGTTTTATTCATATTTTTGTTCTTACTGATTTTATATGGTGTAATACTTTAATCACTTAATTGACGTGTAAGCATTTATATTAAAAAACAGAATTATATGTAATCAAGGAATATTTGCATTGCATATTTCATTATACGATGTAGAGTTTTTATAGTGCATTTATTTTTATAGGAATTTGTACCACCACTGATGTAGACGCTCCGTAAAGCGACCAACGATCGGCGATCAGGATGATGACTTGTTGGGTCCTCGTCGGCGTCTTCGCAGCCATAGTACTCATTTACGGCCTCTTCGAACTGCATTATTTCTTGCGTATATTCCTCACCATCTTCCTTGCACGTTTTTGCAAGAAAAGAGTACACATTCTCGACGAAACCGTAGTTTATGGTACGTAAATTTTCTAGAAATACATGTTTTTTTTTTTTTTGCTTAGAATCGAATAGAAATATTTTATTATTTCTGGAAATTGCACTATTAAACAATATTCAATAACAGGGCTGAAGGAGCAATTATATGACATTTAATTTATTAATAAATTAGAATAAATAAAAATAAATCAGATACAAAAAACAATATACATAGTATAAAGTGTATTTATTAATGCGAATTTTATTATAAGAACACACACGATAATTGCTCTCTCGGGTCTGTTATTGAATATTGTTTATTATCTTGGAGTCGGTTTTGATTGTTTTGCACTATTAATTATAATTCAGTTTTATTTAATACGAACGCAAAGGTATATATAATAAATATTATTAAAAATAATTTAATTTTAGTTATATAATATATATCATACTTTGATTTTAACTTTTATATTTGAAAAAAATATAAAGCGGATATACAATATTGATATAGGAAACTTCTTTATTGTAAAAATTGAAAAAGTAACTATTCTTGAAGGTTGTAACATTTAATTAATGTCATGGGGGTATATGAAAAAATATTTTTATATTATATTCTTTATAGTTTTTTACCTTTTAATAATTATTCCAATAGAATGGTTTAATTGATAAAGTCTATAAAAATCATATGTAGGAGATCTTTCTATTCGATTCAATTCGATATTTGTTAATAACATATCTCAATTAAGAAGATGGTTACAGTGAGAGAGTATTACGTATGTTACGTTGACTTTATCGTTACGATATAATACAAGAATCCTTACGATTTTCTTAGTCATTTATGCGTGAACCTTGACTTACTATGTGGGGAATCAGTTGGTCGGTAGGATCGGTTGGTTGCAAATCCGGAGTAGTATTGATTGCGCATTATAATGAGCTTAAACAACGTAAAATTTTCCTTGTTTCTTCACGTAAAAAACACTTACCATTGCAATTTTATGAATGATATACATTTTTGTTATGCAATTAACTAACAATCTTTGATTCTGCTTCCTTATTTATGTAAAAAAATTACATAACGTTGCACAAAATATTGTTGTAAAAAATAATTTCCGCATTACATTGTAGAAAAACATGTAAAAATAGTCTAACGTGGGCATGTCTTATCCGTCGATCGCGTGATACTTATTATTAGTTGATCGCGATGTGATCCTTAGTCGATCGTGATGTGATTTTTACTTATGTTAGTCAGAAATATATAGTTGATGTGATGTTGAACTAACATCGAAAATCAAATGTTGACATAAAATTGTAATTTTGATTAAATCGATATCGAAATCGTACAAATTGTTGACGAATCGTCGACTATCATTTCGATATAATTTCAAAGTTAAATTCACCAATTAATTATATCAAAATGGCCTTCAAATTAAAAATTACTTTAAATCTTGTTTAGACTATAGTTCACGACAAAAGTAAACATAGAATTCTACTAATTTTTACTAAATAGAAAACAATTAAAAAATAATCATATAAAAAATACATATTACTTTATTTTATATATGTTACATATATAATAAACAGAATTCTATCTTGAATTCTATCGCAAATTATATAGGTATCGTGTAAAAATTTTTATAAAATCGGAAAAAAAATTATTTTAAATATATAACTGTATTATCAATGGGAGAATTTGTAAACCTAAGACTAAGATAATTGTAAATCTAAAAAAAAGGAAACGCGGTGATCAATTGATGTGTGTCTATCGGTCATGAAAGTCGATCACACTTTAGTAAAGGTTGAGCAGGCCTGGTCTAGCGAATATTGCGGACATATCTATTAGCCATTTGTGATTATACAGATGCTCAACCAGTTCCGCATCTTTAATTCCCTTAACTTAACTTCAAAGTTAAAATCAACGATGTCTTGAAGTATTATCTTGTCATGTAATTTCTGGGTTTGATCACACAATCGTACAAAAAAAGTTTAATTATTACTTTACATAGCCTTAATATATAGAGAGTGTGTCAAAAGAGAGATCAAATTTTCTATTTTTTAAATATGAACCTATTTATTATATATATTTTTATATTATTATTATACATTTTCTAGTACGAAACGCTAGGATTATAATTTATCGATTTTGCGAGAGCCGATTTCTATGAGAGAACAGATCTGTATCGAGAGGTTTGTTCTCAAGGATCGGGCGTCGTGCAAGGAGCTACAACTATACGCTACAGACGCTTTATCAAGCCGTTAATGATTTTTAAAATAACGTCCAAGGTAATTTAGGAAAGTTAATACAGATTTTTAAAGATTTTTAAAAGATTATAGAAAATCAACATTTATATAGCGCATTTATCCATCAAGAAAAGTAGCAAAAAATAAATTTATTTATTCGTGCTGATCTAATTAATAATTATCCACTTTAAAAAAAATCATATAAAGTCGATTATACAAAAGTAAAGTAAATTAAATTTATTGATGCTCTTTTCTATGATGCCGATTAGTTATCTCAATATACGCTATACATTATTTCGTATGATCTGTTATTAAGTGAAGATTATAATTTGACAATTCGAAAGAGTGAAAGAGTAAAACGTATGAGTGATTTTATTAGTTTGATGCAAATTTAATATCATTGCTTTTGAAGAAAAAAAAATTGTAATACATTTTTTGAGTTTGTAATAACATATTAAAAACCTATCATCATGAAGATTACGTATTTTAATAGCTTTTTTAATGTCGAGTATGCAACGGTCAAGTCCGTTTACCGCGTGTTACTTTTGTTGTCAATTAAATAAAGTATATTAATCCTAAAGAAGACTTAAAGTATTAAAAATAGTGTTTTTTAAAGATGTCATTTGAAATCGATATTAGAATTGATAACAAGTAACCAAAAATAAAATAAAATCTATTAGCGGCGTTTTTGTGGACGATAATTTGAAGAGGTTTAAGAAGTAAGAGAAATATTACACTGAGAAATAATATTTTAGAAATCTTTTTTACATTTAATTAAATGAAAATTATTTGAAGAACATTATTCTTATATAAAAAGTTGTTATAATAAATCTCTTTTAATGCTTATATGTAAAAAATAGAATAATAATTATTATTAATAAAGAAACTGAGATACATGAAAGATGTATGCGTAACACGCGTGTATATATTAATATATTATATTTTAAATAAAAATTATTAAACACTAATATATAATGCAAAATAAACAAAGAGCTACTCTTTTTACAGTATTTTTTTTATAATTCTAGAATAAATATTAAACGTTGCTTTTGCAATGCGCATTGCACGATTATATTATCTTATGCATATTTATGCTGTTTGCTTTATAAAAACCGTTTCTCCATAACAATACGGATATATTTTTCAATTATTAAATAATACGATTTTGCCGAGTAAACGCGCAAATAACTCATGAGGCTTCAAATTTTTTAAAGAATTAAGAAATCAAAAGCAGGAATCAAAAAAATTTAAACGTACATAATATTTATACATTATCTTACAAAAATACATTTTTAGGAAATAAATTCGGGTTTTTTATACCGTCTATATTTGTGGCAAAATATCAAAGAATGTCGGTTGAAAAGGTAGCGCAATAGGAAAAAAATAAACACATTAACATAATTGTATTTGCTGTTATGTGCAACAATTATATTGCTTTATATTGCATTAAATTATAAACATTAACATTGACTTAAGTATCAAAAATATGTTTCAAATCGGTTTATAAATATGATAATGTCTGTTCTGTGTGTGTCTGTATAAATATGATAATGCATGTTCTGTGTGTATGTATGTATGTTATCAATTATATTATATTAAGTAGATTAAGTAAATCAAGTTAGAGAAAATGGTACAGGGTTTTGTATTTTTTAACAAATTTGAAGTAATATTGACATTTTGAAATCAAGAAGTTGAACTCAAGAAGTAAAACTTTGAATTTTACGTAATGAAATAATTAAGCTATTGTTTATATTCTTTTAGATTATTTATTGGGACGAGAAAAGTTTCTTCATGGAGCATCGATTTATCACGCCGAGCGATGGTTTTATAAGGGCTATCGCGATTTGCAGGCAGAGACTCCTTGACTGTAGCGCTGACACTGTTATCGGCGCTTTATTGAACCGCAGAGTGAAACAAAAGGGAAATGTCGAAGCAGGTGTAACGCAGGTAGGAGTAAATTGCAAAACGCATTAAAAAATTTATAAATATCATTCAATTACGATTCAGTCGTTATCATAAATATTTTTATTACTACAGAAAGTGCATCATTATTTTCCCATTAGCATTTATCACGATTGGTCAAATCTTGTTTTACTTTCAGTGTGATGATTATTTAATTGAATAGATTATAAAAATAAAGAGGACGATATGTGTCCCATATTTTAGGTACCTCCTGCGAAGCCAGAAATGCCACCCGAACTGAGCAGATGGATAGAGAGCAATGAGATATCCTCGGCAATATTGAGACAGGAGCCGATCATTACAACGCATTGCTGACAAAAAGACGCTGCGACGTCTAGCAACGACGTCGTTGCGACACCGATATACACAACTACGACCGTGTAATAAATATCGGAAAATGCGATATATATTCTTGATCTCTAACCTTTAATCTTCGGACGATATCCTGGCAGGATTCCAGAATGATATTAATTTAGCGACTCTAGTAACTTGAATGTTTAATTACTAGGGTGGAGCAAATATAAACGAGACTTGTTAAAAAAATATTTATTTGATTAATATATGAAAACTAACACAAAATTATTTTTCTACATAGCATCCACTAATGTTTACACATTTTTGCCACCGCACCGGCAGTTTTTTTCACCCTGCTTTATAAAAAGTAGCAGAATAAGTACGAAATCAATTGTGCAATTCGTTGGAAAACCTTTCTCTCCATAAGGCTTTTTTTAAGAGGTCCAAACAAATCCATCATATATAACAATGCGCATTAAAAATGCGTCTCCTTTTGCTGCATGGCGATCCAAAAGTCTCAGATTTCAGCTCGTACGGCCTTCTGATCTGCATTTAAAATTCGAGACAACCATCGTGCAGTGATTTTTCGAAATCATAACTCATTCTCAATGATTGTTTGCACATTTCCATAACTTATGCCAATCCCTTTACTAATTTCACGAGCAATTATTCGTCGGTCGTCAATAAGATCGCGAATTTGTTGAATGATCTCAGGCGTAATACTCGTCTTTGATCGACGCGCATGTCAAATTTGCAACTTTTTCACGACCTTCACAAAAAAACTTATGCCATTTGCATACTTGGGACTTCGATAACGTGTTCTTATCGAACTGTATGCGTAATTGGCACAAAATTTCAGCTGGTTTAACATGTTCGCGTGTTAAAAATTTAATAATTATGCATTGCGCAACCGAGGAAGGCACCTTTTATTTACTCGTCGTGCCTACTATTAAACAAACGATTGTAGAAACAAACGCGCAGCTTAGAGCTGGTCTAGACACATCTATCAACAGCCCACTATTCTTACAACAATGAGCGTTAAAGTATATTGCTTCTATTTGAAAAGTCTCGTTCATATTTGATCGACCTACGTATTTACGATACAATGACAAAAACTTAGCGCGTAAAAATTTCCGGGCGAAGTAAACGATAAAAATGATCTACGATGAGACTTATCTATGAGATCTATGATCTAATGTCCGCTTATTAATACAGAATAAAAATAGTTAATATAATATTCGGAAAGCGGTTTTTCTCTTGCTCTGATAGTCTATTGAAATGTGGATTAAATAAATTAAAAAAAAAAAATAACTTACATAGCAAAATTCGCAACAAGAAATTTTTAAAACAAAAACGCAAGCTCAAAATTGCTTCTGTTATCTTTATGTATTATAATTATATAATATTTTATTTACACATATGAATATAAAAAAAGATGATGTAAGATATCAAATTAAAATATTAAAGTATTAAAATCTGGCGTATTGCAGATTGTGAAAATTATTGGGCCAATCAAAAAGTTTGATTGGATTTTCAATAGCTGGCGTCACATATATGTATTATAAGTAACACTATTGACATAATCTTTAATATATTATATACGATCTTTCAGGTGACAACTTCAGCTATCATTTGCGCATAACATTAGTGCATTTATATTGTATTTAAGTACTGCATTTATTAATTAAAACTGAGCGTTAATAAAGTGCATTTGTATCATTATTATTTATTATTATGTTATTTAAATTTAGAAAAAATGTAAATGTTTTTGCTGTTACCGAAAACATTTGTAAAGTTTATGGAGATACTACAGTGACTATTCAAACAGTTAAAATATTTTTGATTAAATTGATAATGAAATCATCATCCACTTCTATTGAGCGTCCGGGGCGTGGTTTATCTTCTAACAATAAGTTAAAATCATCATGTTTAAAACGTGCAAACCATTTTCTAACTGTTTTAGTAGTCAGTGCAGTATCTCCATAAACTTTACAAATGTTGTCGGTAGCAGCAGAAACATTTACATTTTTTTTAAACTTAAATAACATAATATGATGCAAATATACTTTCTTAACTCTCATTTTTAATTAATATATGTATCACTTAAACGCTATATAAGTGCTATGCGCAAATGATAGCTGAAGTTGTCAGCTTAAAAATCGTATTAATATATAATGTATAAATATTAATAGAATTGTTGCTTATTACATGTATGTGACGCCAGCTAAAAATCGAATCAAACTTTTTGATTGACCCAATAAATTGTATGTATAATATTTTTGCATCAAGATAAAATAATATCTCAAAATTAAAAGCGAAGTGGTTTTTTGTGCCATTATTTACATTAATTTATCTCATCAAGAGAGAAAAAAATTGTGAATATATTATTACATTACAAAATATATATTATATATAAAAAGACGTAAAATATTTAATGCGCTACTAGCGATAACTGATAAGATATACATATGTATATGTATATATACGTATGTTATGTATGTAAAGTGTGGAATATATATATATTTCATACTATAAGTATATGTTACAGCTCTGAAATTTTTGGCATATAGTCGCCTCAATGGGAAACGTATATATACGGCAGGGAAGTAACAATTATTAAAGTATTTACCATGTAACAATGGATGCCTGCGTACTTATATAGTATATTAGGTGCCTTCACACATTGAAAGAAATATAATATAAATCTATTAAATTAAACACATTGTTTCATCATAACTTCAACCTTCTCATATCTTTCAGTTTATTTTTCTTTTACATATTACGATTATAGATTTCGTCTAATCGGATATGCGATATTGGATATAATCGGATATGCGGATATAAAATATGTGTGAGCATAATTAATTGAGGTCTGTGTTTAAGCAGGGTCACTGATTTATCAAGACAGATAATAAGAGTCTTACGTATTTCTATACTCCTTAAATCAAAGTGTCTTATATCAAATGTTCGATAGAAATTGATAAAATTTGGTAAAAGGACTGGACAACCCCGTTCTTAATATAGCAATCAATTTTATCTTAATTTATCTGAAATCTGGTAATCAGAGAGAGATAATGATGGCTAAAATTTAGATAATTGTAAGAAATATTTTTAATCAATTTATATTTGTCAAAATTAATTCTCTACTTATCCGAATTTGTCCGAATTCTCTTTGTCTCTATTTGTCCGAAAATCTAAATAGAAAAATTTTTTCGGGACTCTTATGTGTGTTTATATAAAACCATACACATATTATATGTATATTATATATTGTATATATATATATATATATATGTATGTGCGTGTGCGTGTGTAAATTTCTTTCAATAAAAATGTCAGTGATTTAATTAAAAAAAATAGAGATAGTAATTATCTACACATCGATTAATATCTTTTTTTTTCGTTTTCTCTTTTAGTATATCAATAAATTCGTCACATAAGTGCGTTATATAAATGTGAAATATTCTGTTATAATTTTGTTTGTAAATTTCCGATTTGATTAAATGCTTAAACACGCTTAATCGTGACAGAATATTGAAGCGTCTCTTTCTGGTCATGCTGCCTGAACCGGTTCTCCCGTATATCGGAGGCCGCAGACGTATCGGAGTACTATTCACGGTCAGTTCTCTGCCGACTGTAAGAAAGCGTACATCGAGTCTGTGTTATCGTGCAGTTTTTCAGATATCAAGAAAGACGTCAGTAAGAAGCTAGCAATGCTGTGTTCTTGTGGCGTGGCAATAATTGCCATTCTCTACTTCCTATTCGATGTGAACTACTTTGTGAGAATTATCGCCACTGTCATATGGGGCAGACTTTTTGAGAAAAAGAAAAAGCTTTTTGATACGACAACGATTTATGGTAAATTCTCGTATTACTAAATTACAATATTAATTATAATTATTAATAAATATTAATAGATTGCTTTGTTAATTCTGTAAGATACACATTAATTATCCAATGTACAAAGATGTAAATCTCGTGCAAAATTATATCATATCATTATCATATTTGTATCAGAATACAAGTTCACGAATAATAATATTACGTTAAAAAAAGGAAGCCACAATGGAGATATATTACAGGCGATATTTTGCAAAGACTAGGTTTAATATATACCTTTTCTGTTCGCGATTTTGTACGCGTCAATATATTCATAATTCATAATTATTTAAATGGATTCACGCTTTATGACACTATGTATTTATACACTGTACAAACGTTCTTTAAATGTGCCGTTTTATAGTGTGGAACATAGGTCAGCAAATAACTGTACAGCGTTGCGTTGACATATATATATATATATATATGTATATATTGTATATATATGTCGACATATTTCTCGATTCTATAAAACATTGTTCATTCGTTTAAAGATTCATTATAATTAAAAAACAAAATGTATCTTGTAAAATTATTGTAATAAACTCCGAGAATTTATTTCTTAATATATGGAACTTTCAAACATTTGAATTTATTTAAATAGATTGGAGTTTAGAAGTAGACAATTCCAAACAATTCTACAATCTAAAATTTAAAAAAAAGCAAACAATTTAAGATTCGAGCAAGAAATTCGAACTATTTGAGTTATTTGAAAAATTCAGATTATTTAATTAATAATATAGCTGACACAGAGATTTCTCTTGTTACAGGTATTTGCACTACTCAGGATGTCGACCTGGTTTTCAAACACATGAATAATGCGAGGTATCTGCGCGAGTTGGATTTTGCGCGTTTCCATTTTTATGATAGATCAGGAATCTACGCAGCGATCGCAAAAAGAAGAGGTGGTGCCGTTCAAGGTGCTTCCACTATAAGATATCGCCGTGCGGTTCCTATGTTTATGCCGTACAAGATTACGACAAAGGTCGATACTTTTTGCACTCTGTCTTAGTTTTATCCATTTACAATTAAATTGCTCACAATAATTAAGTCTATTCTGATTCTCGTTTGCGTTCTTACAGCTTATTTACTGGGAAGATAAACACTTTTACGTAGAGCAACAGTTTGTTAGCCTCACGGATAATTTTGTCCGTGCTGTTGTATTAAGTAGACAAACTGTAACCGGATTAAAAATACCGGTGACGGATTTAATCGCTGAAATTGAACCGAGCACACGTAGACCGGAGCCCACCAAAGAACTTCAGCTATGGCTGGAATCAATGGAAGAATCATCCAAAAAGCTTAGAAAAGAGGAATGACGAAAGATATATATATAATATATCATTTATTTAATGACAATTCTCAAATTATGTTATTTATTTTCTTGTGATCGTTAGAACGGTTTGTATTTCGGTTTGTTTCTTGTTACATTGCTAAAGATAGTTAGTCTAGTCTAGTGTTAAAGTAATCTCTCAAGACGTGTCTGATATTTTATCATCGTAAATAGATCATTTTTTTTATAATGTGACATAACTCTCTGTCTTTTGAAGCTCTTTTTTAAATGTTACCTATAAATATTAAAAATTGTAATGCAAATATTTTATTAATTGAGATATAATGTTGAATAAAGTAACAAATATGAAATTATAAATTAAAATATATGTTGATTTATGCGATTAATGAGAATTATAATGAAGATTTTATTAAAATTTGCTAAAAATATTTTTTGGATGTGTGTAATTTTTGTAATAGATATTTATATCGTACGATTATACGTATATGTAATTAATTTACCCAACGCTACGAAATGTTTCGTAACGAATGTAAACAATTTATTTCGTATTTAAACGATAAAGTTTGCACATTTATCATGAAACAAATAAACTGTTAATGTTTTGCACAGTTATTGCAATATTCAAAAAACAATAAAAAACACATGACATTTCACATTCGAAATAATATTTTGCTGATGCGAATTATCGAAGTTTTATATATATATACTCGTTATGAAATATCTTGAAAATTGTCTCGATCGATTTTTTGTAATTAACACGTTGCGAATATTAATTCCTTATATCGCTCTTGTCATCTCACAAAGCGCTTCGGCGCAACCGTCAGATGGCGAGCCTGGTACTGGCTCGGAGAAACGGAGAACGGATGTTTCTGCGAGCTAGATGTATCGCGCGCGCAGTCGATCCGTGAACTCGAAAGCTGCCGCGAAGCAAAACGATCCGACCTTTGATTGCGCTTTCCATGAACTTTTGCGAACCATTCAGTGACGAAGAGCTCGCGACAGTTCTCTGCAAAGAATAATACGGATGACTCTCCTCATCCTATCTGTGAGTGATCAGTGAGCTAAGTTTGCTCGTTCTTCGCGAAAGATCCCTGTTTTTCATATTTATTTCTCTCGTCAAACTTGCAAATTTTGCAAATTTTATTTAGATTTTAAACTTGTCACAAGTCACGTACCGCAAGAGTTTATTTTACACCTCATTGTGGGAACATTATTTAAATATAAACGATTGATTTTACGAAAGTGAATCTGCAATGTTATTAGGATGAAAGGATTGAACATAACGCTGGAAAAATTTAATAATTTAAAAATTAAAGAGGGAAAATGTTTTAAAATTTTCAGTAAAATAATACTTGCGATAATTAATGATTGAAAAATTTTATTATTAAAATAGTGATTTCTAGATTATTATTTTTCACATAAATATATAATAGTTTATATCACATGCCAAAGTATATACAATTGCACGAACAAAGCAAGTCTGTGTAATATAAAACTCACTTAATAAAGTGTGAATACGATTCACTTGTGTGTTCCATCCGGTAAAACGTATTTATTAAACGTTTCGCGAATTCAGCACGTGAAACTCACGTATTTCTGCTTACAAATACAACCTAGAATACAGTTGGCGTTGCATTCGTGAATGCAGTTAGTGATAACTGCATGGTGCGTAAATGCACATGCGGATAAAATTACGAGATTACATCATAAGAAAATATGTAGATCAGACATCGTCCATCATTACTGCTCGTATTATTGATTATACATATTGGCGTGATTGTCTATAGATAAATATTAATGAGAAACAGAGTTATGAATGTTCAACTCTTTTTCTTTTTTAATGAGGGAAAAAAATTTCTTATTTTTATAATGGTACGTATTTATACAATATGCTACAATCGCTGAATGTTTTTTGCACAAATAATTTTCGTCAATTTTGTATCAATTTCTTTTCAATACTTGTTATTTTCAACAAATTAATAATCGAAAACAAAGAGCGTTTGACAAACTAAATTTCAAGAAAGAGAATAAATTACAAAATCTTATGTAGTTAATACAAAAAAAAATTTTCTTTTAATAAGAATTTTAATTTTTCTTTATTATAAGAATATATGATAACAAAAATTAAAGAAAGATATGTACAATGTAAAAAATTACTTCTTCGTATTATCGGCAATACATATATAACACTATATTTCCTTAAAAAATGACATTTCTAAATTAGGATTTTTTAAAAATATTAATTTTAAAGCTCGAATTTAAAATGTCTACCACATCAGTTTATCGCATCAAAGAATCATCATCACATCATATTGCACAGATTAATACTATCGCGTGTATCTCATAAGCCTCGACGAGATGATTTAGACCTCGACGGAAAGGATTAATATGTTTTCAACGAATTGTCACGACCTGGCGATTGGGATCATTACGCGAATTTACTGACGTATGCGCTCCTTTATAACGTTTCATGCACGTAATTACAAATTAGACAATTTGTCTAATCGAGCGCGGTATTGCTTGCTAGGGAGGGCATCTGAGATCTGTCTCATTCTTCTGAAACTATAAAGAGAAAGTTTTATTGTCCCATGATCCTCTCACGCGTTTCTAAAAAATCGAGACGATGCTATTGCCATTTTTTAAAATAAAATTGCACGCACATTTTTCTGGTCGTGTCGAAATCGGGAAGCGTGTTGATAACGTCATTATCTCAAATACCAGGAAATCGATCGTGCGAACAGGTCGCTCGTCGATTTCTCTTCCCATGAACCAACATTTGACTGAACAATGAATCGGTGCTTTCCTCAGCGAATATATCATACTATCTTAATGTATTACTTTCCCCGATAAATTCGTGAGAAACTGTATACGTTCCAAGCTCAAGTACTGATGAGTAGAAATTACTTTAATTGCTTTGTAATCCGATCCACATGCTCTTTATTAAATACGTAACACGGTCAGAATTTTTGTGAAATGATTTGTATATTAATAAATTTTTGAATTAAATTTTCGACAAATTAGAATTTAGAATTTGATTTGGAAGCACGTAAAATTAGTGCCATAAATCAGAATCGTTTCATTTCTTTAAATCGCACATGTTTATGAAACAAATATGATTATTTCCATCGTATTTTTTGGAAAGGATTTATATTATATATATATATATATCTTTTGTAAAAATGTTAA